TAAGTAAAATATTATGTATCCTTATATTGTAATATGGTACATTATGCATATTAAAAGTTGTATTTTTCTGAGAGTAATAACTATGCGTGTATAGGTATGTCTACCTCATAGAACAGAAATGGTTATAGTGTACTTTTGAATACATGTAAATACTAAATACCATTGATGAAGATCTCGAATTAATTTCAGTGAAATTTTTTTACCTAAGGATAAGCTATCTTTCAGAATATTAAATAATGAAACTAAAAAAAAAAAAATTAACATTCAAAATAAAATAAATATGATTCAATTACACTGCTAATCTAATGTACATTTAAAAATATTTTTATTTATTTGTGTTTGGTTCTCTTCAATGAAAATTAACTATGTTTGTTGGCTACGAAATAATGAATATGATACTAATTATTTAATATAATATATTATATTATAATATGTGGTACACAGCAGGGTTTGTTCCAAAAATTTTTACTTAATGCACAAACACACTGAAAAGTTGGGAAATATCTACACATCATACACTCATGAAAGACTGGAACGTTATGACGAAAGTTATAGTCTATAACTTAATCCTACCTATAACTTATAGATATAATAATGAAATTAGCTGCATATAGTAGTACCTTTTTCGTTCTCTATATTTTATAGAATTTACTAAGAACAAAAGATAAAATTGAATCGATTATTTATGAAAGGGGCTAAGTCCAAAAAGTAAAACTTTCGGGAAATTAAAAATTATTGGTGGTTATTCGTATCCGTGCGCTTTAATGTGTGTACAATGGTCTATGTGATCGCGATAAGCTAAGCTGATAGCATAGATAGTACCTAATCGTAATTCGTATTTCTGTTGCATAGATTAATCAGTCATTGAAGTAGCAAATATTGTAAACTTATATAATAATTATTTATTGAGTACTAGATTGGGTTTATAAGTTACACAAATTTCAAATACTCAGTAGAAATTTAATCATTCTATAAGGAAAATTATATTTTTGTAAGGTGCCCATATTCATAAAGTCAACTGCCTTTTTGATTTTTCTTACTACTCAATTTGGGTCGTACTGTCCGTTAGAATAAGACCTGGCACTACAATAGAAGATATTGGGTATCCACCATAGTAGAAAATCGATAAAGAGAATAATTGAGAATATTTTTAATATCATCTCTAACATTTCTAATATATACAATTACTATTTTTTCAATAAATTAATTTGTGAATCTACTTTAGTTTTAACTTTAATTTTTGTATTCAGCATGTTAGATCCATAATAAATCATGTATGGGTATATACTTATACAGTAAAATTATAATTCATACTCATCCAAGATAAAACAATTAGTATAATAATATAAAAATAAAAAAATAATTATCATATATATTTCTTTATTATCTATCCCACGCAGAAAGAATTACACATTGTGTATTAAAGTTTAATCACAGTTGTATACAATGTACATAATTGATAATGTATGTCTTTTTTTTTTTATCTTATTTAGTCCTTCAGAAATAATAAAAAATTTTACGCAAAGCTGTATATACTGAGCATATTATTTTTATTAATAATTATCTGTAAACTCTATAACGTTATGATAAAAAAAATTGCTCCATAAGCTTTATGCAGGTGCCTCCTCTGTAGATTATAAATTAAACACGCGTGAGTAGCGTATTAAATTGATATTTTACACCCTGGGGCAGTATTTTTTTTTTAGACCCCTACTTCTCAATAATTACATCATCCAACCGTGTTAAGATTGTCTGTAAATTTTTTTCAATTTATGCATTACTCATTATAATATCTCTGTCAACCAGAACACGTCTTATAGGAAGTAGTTAAAAGTTCCTTATAGAAAAATGCCATAGGACTAGAAAGCAAAATCCAATGACTTCGATTACTTAGAAAATAATAATCTAAGAAATTTCAATTTAGAATCGTGCATTTATTTTAGAATTTTACAGAAGCGATGGCATTTTCAAAAACGGTTGATTGATTAGTAGGTCTTACATATAATTTTGAAAATGTTGAAGATTTGTTACATTTTACTGGTTTTATTAGTATAATACGAACAATACCAAACTCGTCGACGTCAAACCACTTTCAGATTTCGAAAGTAAAACCCGTTTACTACTATAGTTGGTCGCGATGAGCGTGTGCGGAGGACCGTGCAGGAGGTCACCGCTTGCAATGAAATATTTTGACCCTCCCGTGAACGAAACTCTCAGAACTGTCTATACTATACTTTATCCGAGTAAAAAATAGAGTGGTAAAACAAAAAATAAATATATAGTGAACGCGTAGTGTCATTTACTACTAGTGAAATTATATCGTTTACTTGTTTATAAATAATCACATTCGTGTTTGGTAAATATATCAGTATTTAAAAGCAAATCGGACTCCCGGGGCTGCATTTAGTATGAACACGTGCCGCTGCTATTATTATACACACAGCCGTGGTATGAAGATTGCTTACGAAAGACGAAACGTGTGTGAACTCATTTAGAAATCTCAATTTAGTTTTAAAACAACGCAATTTGAGACAAAAAAATAAAAAATAGTTAATAACTATTCGGCGATGTTCAATCCACTTCCGAAAACGCGGTAGTTATATTTAAGCATAGAAGTATACAAAGGGAAAAAACGAGTAAGAAACATCGAAAATATCTCTTTACCTGCCGGTACGTGCGTTTATGGCTGATCGGGAATTTATACGATAATGATACATGTAGATACTGCAGTAACTAAGTAACTATACAATCGAAAAACGACCCGACGAGTGACAAGGCAAGAATGCGAAACTCGTCATCGAATCGAATCGTTTTTGAGTACGTGTGCAGATAGAAAACGTAAACACTCGGTTAGGCGTGTTCCACTCACACACTCGAATGATGAAAATTGCCGGTGTTGGAAATAATGTACAACATATGCATATGATAGTCAGGTAAACGAGATATGACTCTACCTTTCTGAACCCAATATTACCCAATGGAACGGCAACAGGAAAAAGATACGGACGAGTACAATAAAAATATGAAATACCATATTACAGTACATACTATAGGCAGAGGGCAAATCCGGATCATATATTTCACGTATGGCATAAGTTTATTGTGTCTAAATTATTGGCCCATAAATGACGGATCTTGGCAATTTTTGACGACCAATTATGATTTTAGTTAACTAACTAAATATACATGTGCCATAAAATATGAACAGTACACAATTGTATGACTCCGAAATTAAATGAATTCATGTGAAATGAAACAGGACAATTATTTTTCGAGAGCCGTTTATTTAAATTATTGCCATTAGACCTGGCCGGATTTTATTTTCGACGGGACTTTAGTTATAAACGATTTTATCGCATCATTTTATTGATTCGTTGATTAAAAATTATTTGTATAGTTAAAAGGAAGTCTAGTACTGATTAGGGAGGCGTCTATGATTATAATTTTAACATGTACTTATGTCAGTATTAACTATTGAGTTCACTACCGTTATTTGTTGCATAATAAAAAAAGTAAAGTCGGGACGAAACCGGAGACGCAAAGAATATTTTAAGAATAACATAATATATTATGGATGTTTTGTTAGTTTATTATCTTATTTTGTCCATTGCTAGTTCATATACTAATTAATTAAATTGCTAAAAAATATGTTACCATAATAGATTATTTTGTGTTTATATACTATTAAATTATACCTAATTATGTTCAAACTTATTTATTGTAATACGATTATGCAATAGTATTAGATAAATCTTTTTCAATTTATATCTTATGAATCAATCAAAATGTAACTCTCTACTCCATCATAAGCTAAGGCTTAAAGGAGTAGTTAGTAGTAGTATATTCTCTATATATGTATGTAAGTTATGTATTTATAATGAAAATATAAAAATATATTAATTACAGATGAGTCAAACCGATAAATAAATCTTGTTTGCTTGAAATTAATTAATATAATTAAAAATTGAAATAACACTAGATTTAAAATTTATATTTGTTGATGATATTATTATTAAAAAATAAATGCACAGCTATTAATTGCTGATACACAAGTCATAAACTCACAGAAACTGCCACACTAATGCTATTTAATGTCAATGAAATTATTTCAACAAACAGAAATTAAAAGCTTATGAGCAATACTGATGTATAATTCATTACACATTTAAAATTAAAAAAAAAAAAATCTCACATTAAACCGGATCTGCTTTAAATATTATCCGAGTATAACGTACATAAAGTACGGTAAATCAATCTACATTATCGACTGATGCAACAGTCATCAAATTCGTATTTCACTAAAACAATTCGTAAATACAAACGTCATTCCATCAAATAGTTCTTAAAGCGAACAGCGGATAATAATATTAAAAGGGACGTGTATACAATGTATGTGATTCCCGCATAGTAATACGGTCATTTAAGAAAGCTTGGGTTCAGAATGTTTGATGATCAAGTTCGTAGTTTAAACACGGTAGAAGTTCTATTCAACCGGCAATTGCAGTCCAACGGGTAGGTATCTCTTTAGCAGAACTTGGCACGATCAACGTTGCGCCTTGGAAGGGTTGGAGAAGGGTTAGCGAGAAATGCGATGACTAATACCGTTTACCGCGCGGGAGCCGGAACAACGCGTAATGTTATATTATTATTATTATTATTGTCGTTCGTATAATTGTTGCTACGCCTGTACGTGGTGCGCGGGCGAACGTGAAAATTACAATGCACGAACGATGACGATTCGCGGCCACCGTCAGCTGCGAGTGCTGTTCGGTATTTAGGCCGTGTAGGGTTTTTTTTCTTTTCCGAACGAGGTGACGTCGTCGTCCGCACGATAAAACGTGCGCGGTTCACCGTGAATCAGACGCGCGTAGGTAATGAGTCATGCGTAATGTGCAATGAACAAACGCGTTGCTCGAACGGCGGCGGCGGCGATGTCCGCGGGCGGCGGCTGGCCACTCGTCCGGACCCCTTCGACGACCGCGACGTGCCCATCTCGCTCTGCTCGCCCCGCTGCCGCGGACCACACGGCACACGTCATCCGGCACACGCACGCACACCGCACTGCACACGCGCGCCCATTCTCCCCCCAACAACGTACGAGATATCTGGCTTGCGCACGCTCGTACACGCCGCACCGACTCGCCGCTCTCGCACGCACTCGCGAGCATTAGCACCCGCGAACCGCACCGTCGTCCAGTGAAAGAGTGTCGTCTGAGCCGTCTTCATTGCCGTTTCAATACACGTCGTGTCGTCGTCACGCAACGCAAGCCCGATCAGGCGCGCCTTTTTCAACATCGCCACCAAGACTGTGTTGTTCGCGTACACGTATTGAACCATCTTCACAGCCCTTGCCGCTACCGTTTGCGATCTGTTCTCCTCGTTCCGTATTTCAAACCCGTTTTCCCGTCCAGTGCAGTGTCCAACCCGTCCCGTCCTGTCGCATCGCTTTCGCGATACACCGTCCGCACGAAGACAACCGCATTATCCGAACAACCGTTTGGCTGATTCAAGCTGAACGAGATGTCCAGGATTTCGAACTATATCAACGCGATCAACGGCAACGCGACCGTCGCCGCGACCACCGCCGACGAAGAGCTCAAGGAACAATTTTCCAAGGTAACCATGACGTTGCATCAACGCGCCAGGAGGTTTTTGTTTTTACTCGCCGTCCGTTTCGCTGTACGGCATGTATCCACCTACCTGTCGTGCCGTCTTATTGCCGTGTGCAGCGACAATAATACGGCCTCCGTACAAATTGAACGGTTTTGTGTTCTTCTCGGGACACGATTGTCGTTGCAAAACGATATTCTGTAGCTCGATCATTTAATAGCTTCTGTTAATGTACTATAAAACGGTTTTGCGTTAAAATAAAACGGTGCGGTCGGGGTTTTGATAATATCTTCAAATGGTTTGTGCTCGAACCATTATGTTGATAAGGTTTTATCTTTTTTTTTTTGTGTTCTTGATAAAACTCGTATATAATTTTTAGTTCATTGATAATATCTAATAATAATAATAATGTTATAAACGATCACCTTATCATTGTACTAGCTGACATGATCTGTAGAACCGTGACTATCGAATAATGGCTTATTTAAATTATAATGTGCTAAATTATTTTGTCATAACACATTTTCTAGGCTGATTAACTATTTTTTTTCTTATCAAGGCATTTTGCATTGACAATTATTAACGTGTAAATTATTGATTGATGTATGTTTAAGCATTTAAACCGAAAAATAACTAAGTTTTGAAAATATTCTTCATACCTATCATATTTTATGATTTGATGATGCTGAAATTCGTTTTATATTTAAATTTTTAATATTTAAGCAAAACATATTCAAATTTATTTCATTTTAATGTTTTTTTCTAATTATTACTTTGAGTTAATGATTAAGAATATTTTCTTTAGTTCACATTTTTTAATGGTACGAAAATGTATTGGTAATATCTTTACTAGTTTCTGTTCAAAATTGTTTATTATTATGTCATTAAAATTTATTTTTTTGAAGTATTTTCAATTCTCATTGGCAGTACTAAATACTGCCCTTATTAAGTAAAGCCTTTTTATTATTATATTTTTACTACAATATTAAATACATTCATTACATTTTATTATTAATGCATATATATATAATAATAGAATAAAAAAAAATACAGTAGAAGCCGCATATTAGAAACACGGATAATTGATACAATCGCGTTATTGAAACTAAATGTACTGGGACGGACCAGCCGTATATTAGAACATTGAAAATAAATCTGATTATTGAAACATCAAATTGGTTATTGGAAACAATTGGGCAAAAGTCAGTTGACATATACACAGTGGCGTAACTGGGAAAAATTCTAGGGGGGGGCATTATAATATATTTATTATAACCAAAACCCTGACACCCCTCCCCCTCACCAGTTAAAACATATTTTTATTGTATGTATTTTAATACAGTATATCTAATTGTTTGATTTTACATAAGTCTTTTAACTCATTTTATGGTTTAGATTAACATAAATTCTAGGTAGCAGGTACTAGGTACCAATGTTGTTAAATAATACCCATAAGAGCTCATTATTAAAAAGTGCTATTTGTACTGTTGGATTATCTGGGGTGACAAAATTATACCTTTATCCCTCAAAAAATTGTCAGGGGGGGCACTTGCTATTTGTTTATCCATGCGATAATCAATGTAATTTAATCTTATATTTACTGTCATTACTTTTATATTTTGACTTTACTATATCTTAAGTGCAGTACATCCTATACAATGTATAAGAATAATGTTCTTTTCTGTACGTATTGTTAGTTTAGCTTTGGCGGACATGCGTAAAGGTGATTAGTATTTCATTATTCTAAAAAAATCTAAATGCCAAGATTTAAGTTCTAAACAGAAGTGCGAGTTATTAAAATTATACGATGTGCTTCCAAAAATTAGTTTATGTGATGCCGCAGCTTCTTTAAACATTTCTCATTGCACATTAAATACATTTTTTTTATATTTTTCGTTTTTTTTTTTCATTATACAAATCAAACCAATCACTTATTAGAATCAATCGGTTAAATGACACATTTCACTTTGGTCCCAAAGTGTTTTTAATAAGCGCCTTCTACTGTATAACTAAGTAAATTTAAAAAAATTTTAAACCAATTAAGAAAATCTCAAACCATTTACATCAATTTTTATGGTTGAAGTGGCTAATATAAATATAATAATACTAATATGGGTAATATATGTATAATTTTGTATAGCTATGGTATACCTATCTATATCCATTAATTGTATAATGTTTTATAAATTGTTTTATTACACAATGTTACTTAATAATAAAACCAAAATAAATGTACGATAATTTGTATTTAATATGATTATATTCTTAATTATTTGTATTCTAATATGTTTTAGATTGATAAAAATGGTGATGGAACAATCGATCTTTCTGAATTACAAGAAGCTCTTGATTTATGTGGTTTTAAATTACCTGCATGGAAAGTTCGTAAAATGATTGAAGATTATGATAGTAAAAAAACTCAAACAAAAGGAAAACTTGTATTTTCAGAATTTAAAAAGGTTGTTAATTTTTTTACAGATTCAATAATAAGTAAAAATAGTATCAACTAATTAAAAAAAAAATTATTACACTTTAGCTTTGTTCAGATTTGAAAGCTGGAGAAGTTGCTAGTTCATTTAAACAGGTTGTTTCTAAAAAAGAAAATTTAGAAACATTAGGTGGAATGTCTGATGCATCAAGTGAAGGAACAACTCATTCCGTGAGATTAGAAGAACAGCTTGCATTTTCCGATTGGATTAATAGTAATTTGAGTATGGATCCTGATCTAAAGCATTTACTTCCAATTAAATCTGAAGGAAAAAATTTGTATGAAAAAGTTAAAGATGGAATTTTACTCTGGTAAAGATATTTTTATTAACTTTATTAAATTGTATAGAATTGAGTATTACTATATGAATTATATTACTTTACATTGTGTTCTTTTTTAGTAAAGTTATTAATCATTCATGTCCTGATACAATTGATGAAAGAGCTATTAATAAAGAAACAAATAAAAGCAACCTTACAGTGTACAAAAAATTAGAAAATTTAACTCTAGCACTAGTTTCCAGTCAAGCTATTGGTTGTAATATCGTTAATATTGATGCACATGATCTTGCTAAAGGAAAACCACATTTAGTCCTTGGCTTACTCTGGCAAATTATTAGGGTAAATATATTTTAATTTTCTAAGTAATACATTAAGAATGTTGAATTTACATACTAATTGTTTTTCAATATTAAATTATTTAGATAGGATTGTTTAATCAAATTACACTTGAAAACTGTCCTGGACTAGCTACATTGTTACAAGATGGAGAAAAAATTGAAGAACTTATAAAATTATCTCCTGAAGCGATACTTCTAAGATGGGTTAATTACCATTTAAATCGTGCTGGAGTTTCTAGGTATGAAATTATGCTTTATATTATAATTAATTTTACTTTAAATAATTGTCTAATATATTTTATAAATTATAGACAATGTCATAACTTCCAAAATGATATAACCGACTCAGAAATATATACTTATCTTATGAAGCAAATCGCCCCAATAGATTCGGATGTTGATATGTCTGCCTTAATGGTAATTATAATCTTATTATATCATTTTCTAAGAATTTTTTTATTATTTATGAATTATGCGTTAATAATTTTTTTTCTATTTGTTTTTGTTTTTATACTTGATTTTATATTTATTCTTAGATTTTAAAAGTTGAAAATAAAAATGTATCTTACCAAATTGTTATATTTATTGCATTAAAATTATTTAATTATATAACTATCTTATAGTATTCAATTTTTTAATTTAAAATATTGTGTTATTAGGAACCAGATTTGAACAAGAGAGCCGAAATTATGTTACAACAAGCAACAAAATTGGGTTGTCGCAGTTTTGTCACACCAATTGATGTCGTGAATGGTGTCTACAAATTAAATCTTGCTTTTGTAGCAAACTTGTTTAATAACCATCCAGGATTAGATAAACCTGAAGGAGAAATTGTTGGGTTGGAATCAATTGAAGAAACAAGAGAAGAAAAAAATAATTTTTAATACACATATATATGTATACAGTTACTAAAAATTACATTTTTCCCATAACAGCTTACAGGAATTGGATGAATTCCATGGGTGTAGCACCTCATGTGAATTGGCTTTATTCAGACTTAGCAGATGGTCTTATTATTTTTCAACTGTATGATATTATTAAACCAGGAATTGTAAATTGGTCAAAAGTACACAGGTATAAAATTGATTTTATACATTTTTTTAAACAAATTTTATTTCTTTTATGATTGTATTATAGGAAATTTTCAAAACTCCGAAAGTTTATGGAAAAATTAGAAAATTGCAACTATGCTGTTGAATTAGGACGTGAACTTAAGTTTTCTTTAGTTGGTATTGCTGGACAAGATTTAAATGATGGAAATGCAACTCTTACGTTAGGTTTGTGAACTAACAATTTGATGAAGTTTTTATTTGTTTAATGTATTTTTAACATTTTATTATTGGATTCATACATACTAGTTTTAAAGTTAAAACTCTTTTATATTTATTTTACGTAGCATTAATTTGGCAGCTAATGAGAGCATACACATTATCAGTTTTGACTCAGCTTGCCAAAACTGGTAGTCCAATAATTGAAAAAGAAATTGTTACCTGGGTTAACAATAAATTGCAAAGTGCTAATAAACCATCGACTTTAAGAGGATTCCAAGATCAAGCATTATCAGATGGCAGAATTGTTATTGATTTAATTGATGCTATAAAACCTGGCACAATTAATTATGATGTGGTTAAAGAGGGAGGTGATGCTGAGGTAATTTTCATTAAAAATGTAATACTTAAATTTAATTATAAACTTATTTATTATATTTATAGGATAATCTAGCAAATGCTAAGTATGCAATATCAATGGCTAGAAAAACTGGAGCTAGAGTATATGCTCTACCAGAAGATATTACTGAAGTAAAACCAAAAATGGTGATGACACTATTTGCATGTCTTATGGCCATAGATTATGTTCCTTATACGAGCGTTAGTGAAAAAACATACTCATAAATGTAAAATTATTAAATATAATTTCTTTGATATGACAATCAGGGTCGGCAAGTAGTATGCATACAAGTAAAATTATTGTTGTATTAAACAATGTGTTTTCATTTTTATTAAACTATATAAATTAATTTTTTTATTTAAAATTAATATTAAAATTATAATCCATCATTGAAAAAATTATTTATATGTTTATATTATTTTTTAATAAATTGTAAATTAAAATTAATTGTTTATCAAATTAAAATTTAATACATCTTAAACGTTGATTAATTAATTTTGCTTTAACCCTGATTAGTATCATCTTTGCCAATTTTTATATATTCATAAACATTTGTGTAAATTAATTTATGTTGAGCAATTTTTATTTTGTGAAAATTAACTGCATTTAAACTTATGACGTGTTGGCTGTGGATAAGTTTGATGTATAATATCTTTTTATTACTATAATTTTATATATATTTCTATATATATATATATATATATATACATTTATATTATTTGTAGTTCATACAAGTTTATTTAACTTATAATATAATTTATAGCATTTGAGTGTTTTGATATCATTTCATAAAATTAAATTACAAAACCATTCGTTACCAATTTTTTTATTTTTTTAATGAAATGTATAGAAAATTATTTTACATTAATACTTGTATTTGAAAAAAAAATCACTGGTTTTCGTTCTTACTAATTTCAGCTATCAAATATTTAAAAAATTATATTAATTTAATAGTTGAAATTAGTAGTAGAAGACTGATTTACCAATTTATCTGGTTTTGTGCCAATATGTATTTGTTAATATATTTAATATTAAAGGCGTTTAGTAATAATGTATAAATTTATAGTTATGATATGATTTTCTTGTATTTATTACAACCTAAATATTTCACTTATTTTACATTATATATACTTTAATAATACTTAATTACTAACATAAAATATGTATATACTAAGTTTGTATTCTTTAATATTTTATTATTTATACAGTTTTTAATTAAATTGTGGATAATTTATTTACTTAATTATTATTTATTATAATTACCAGAATAAAATTAAAATGAGTAATTCTTTAATTTTTAATTCTATACCTAAATCAATATAAGCATTTCATTTTTACTTCCATTAAGTACTGTTTAAATTATTATTAATATATTAATTTTAATATTTTTGATACTCATATAATTATAAGTTGAATTATAAGTACAGGACTTGTTCTGTCATTTGAATGTCCAAATAGTAAAACAATAACCTTTACTTTTTTAAAAAAAAATTTTGTTTGCTACATATTCAATTTATTTAACTTTTATTTTTAAATATACTAAAATTGCATTGTTAATAATTTAGTATATTATTAATGCATTTTAAGTCTATTTACAATTTAGTAGAAAATTAATGATTCAAAAATAATTGTTTACATTTTGTAATAATAAGCCCCTCCTGAAATAAGAAAAACAATATATATATAATTAATACTACTTTTTCCTATTTAATAAATATCATTATAATAAAAAAATAATTTTAATTCTAAGTTCATGAGTCATAGTAACAAGTTACAATACCTTTAGCATATTTATTTATTGTTTTATTTAGTATATAAATATTTTGGATTTATTATTACTTAATTTCCTCCTCGTTTCTGTTCTTAATTTTATTAATTAAGAATTGCATTTCAGCTAAGTGAAGAACGTCAAATTTTTTATAATTAATAATACTCATGTCGAGTTTTCTTATTTATAGATAATTAAAACTTAATAGCTAAATTTAAAATTTGTTCAAAATGTATTACTAAAAATGATAATAATTAATTTTTTTTTTCATTATTATGATTACTCCCTTATCATGTGTTCTACCAAATAATATACTACATTTTATAATTATATAATATAAAGAAAAATCTATTTCAATATTTTCTAATCAGTAGTAATCAATATTCTATCGTAATAGTTTATTTTTGTTATACTTTATAATTTATAGTTGATATTTTTAGAGTTTCATATTGATTCAAATATTTTATGTTTTTAGAATAGTGGAAGTTCTGTCTATACAAAATGTTCAGATTTTGCCCTCCCCTGAAAAATTATTTCAATTAGGCCCCTGTAGTATACAATAATATAGATATTTTTATTAATTCCAATACTTGTATTAGTTTAAAATTTATTATTAAATGATTGTAAACAATTTTTCATTTGATTAAAAATACTATTAATGTATTATAAAATCTCAATAGCATGATTTTGGGAGTGGTAAATATGTAAATTTGGCGGAAGAAAGATTTAAATATATCATGTATTCTACATTTGTTTGGATATATTTTAGAGTCGCAATCATACTGACTTATTATATACCCGATGTTAAATTTTTAATTCAAAACCGGTCTTACTTTATAAATTTAATAATACTCCAGGCTGGGCTTTTATTTATTTTTTGTGTATAAACTAATTGTTAATTTTATTATATTTAATATTTTATAAATTTTTATTACTACCCTCTTCAGTATCTTTATTTTTATTTCTGTCCGTAAAGTTTTATCTTACTTGTTTATCATGCGCTTATTTCAAAATGTATGTACCTACTATTCTTAACAAAATAATAATATTTTTATTATTATATTGTGTATTAAAAAAATATATAGTTGTGATTTATTCTAATAAGTAAAAAAGTAATTTTAATTATCTAAGAATTTTTTTATTTAATCAGTTATATTTTTATGATATTAAAAAAGATATTTTAGTTTAATTAAAATCAGTGTTTGGAGGGAACGAGTTCCAAAAAGAATGGATTCCTGGCACGAATTCCTTTTTATAAAAAAGAAATAATGAGGACATAGACGGGTTCTTTTTTTCAAGGAAAAAGGAATGATAATTTTCGTTCCTTTCGAGTTGCAATTTACGCAGATACCTAATTGAAATATAAATATATTTTTTCTTAGCATGTGTATTGTTAATTTGGTGATCGTTATCGAGTATTGGCTAGGTATCGTTTTTAATGTTATTCGTTATAATATTCCTAATAGATATTTATATATATAAACAAATATAAATCGTCATCGCGTCTGAAAATAACATATACAGCGAACAATAAAATAATTAATGATGCGGATTGAGTCTAAGTAGTATCATTGATTATGAATATTACTACTACTATATACTATCTATAATCAATGGTAGTACCTAACTAATATCTAACTATTTATAATAAATACTTGTATGCAAGAGCGTACCCAAAAGGGGGAGGGGGTGTTTAGGTTCGGACCCCCCATTGAAATTTCTACATACTCAAAGATTTAATTGTAAATTGTATAATAATAGTATATAGTGTATTTTAATTTCCTATTATCTTTAAGGGGGCTGTAGACGATGCAAAAAATCACGTAAAACAGGTCATAAGCTAGACAAACTGTGGGACTTGGGTTTGACGGATTTTAATTTTAAAAACAAATTAAAAATCTTGAACATCTTTACTAAAACTTGTTGGAAGGAATTTTTATTATTACAAGAATTAATGGCGTACTTAAATACATAAAATACATAAATTTCTGTTTTTTAAATTGTCAATATTTTATTACTTGATTACAATATAGAAAATTCTTTTGGTCAATCCCTAGCTAACATAGTGACTTAATTAAATCTGTTTTCAAAATTTAAATTCATCAATCCCAAGTCTCCCAATTTTGTCTTGATTTTTGGCGTTTTTGACATTTTATTAGCGTGGAGTAAATTTTCTTTGTGTTCATTGATCTGTGCATGCGCGTATGGGCGTTAGAACATTTCTAAGAATTTTAGTACCAAGCCATAACATAAATATTAAATACTACCCGCATTTCGAATGATTATCAGTCAATTAGAACTTATGACTACGGAAATGAAATAATAATGTATTTTAACAATTACAATCATTGCAAAGTATAAAATAGATCATAATAAATTAATTTATGTTAGCACAAATCAAATAGAACTAGTTGTTTTCAACTATTCAGTAAGTCAAGTTTAATTTTTCTCGTCAGTAATTTTTTTTTGAATTTTAAAATGAATAAAGACTAGCGTTTGAGTAAAAAAGGACGTCTCAGGCTATGTGCATTACGGAAAAAACCTAACTTGAAACGCAAAAAACGCGAATATCATAAAAACAATGATGAGGTAATTATAATGTATATTGATTGATATATAGTGAATATATTTTTTGTATTAATTTATAAATTAAAATAATTTTGTAAGTTTATTTAGATTGATAAATTTATTGATTTTATAATAATGTATGTTTTTTACATTTTACTTATAACAACTTTATAACGTTTTTGAGTAGAAATAATGCTTTGATTTTTTACTTCAGCCCCTTTTTGAAAGGGAAAATTCATCTAGTTGGTACTTTGGGAAGTCAAAAGTAAAAGATCAAGAAGTTTTCAAAAGCGTTAGGAAAAATCATAAAAAAGTAACGGAAAAACAGGAATTTTTACGTATAATCAGTTTTTGACAAAATCAATTTTTTTATTTTGCTGTAGCTCAAAAACGAATCATTGTAAATATTTGAAATTTTCATCAAATGTTTATATTAGCCGTATCTATTTACGATTACATATTCAAAGTATTTTGACTTTTTTAAGATATTTATAGACAATTGAAATTTTTTAAGTTTTTTTGTGCCTTTAAAAAAACTTTAGCAATCCAAAAAAATCTTTAAAATGTAATAAAAGGTTTATTATAAGTTTTACTTATTGTAGTAAAAAAAATCAAAAATCGTTAGTTACAATTTTTGTTTATAAGCATTTTAAGTATTTTCTTCGTGTATATTAAATTGTGCATGCGCGTATGGACGCTAGAACATTTCTAAGAATTGTAGTATTTCTAGCTATAACATAAATATTGTATCGTTTATTTATCATAGTACCAAATACATTTTTTTAAATTTTCTTTTACAGTATGCTTATAAAAAACGAATAAATTAAAACAATTATTTTCTACAAAACATAGACAAGAGAATAAAGAATTCAAATGTGTTTTCAAAATTAAAATCAGGATTTAGTTACCGGATGAACTTTTCTTCCGATTTTTGGTTCGAAATTGCGAAAAAACGACCAGCTCAGCAGACTTAAATGGTTAGGTAGGAAATAAAATAATAATATATATGTATATATAAAAT